CGATCCCGAAACCTATCAAATCAAGTCTGATTGATCTCAAATTTTGCACGCAAGTCACATTTGACATTACAAACCTACTCCAACTTTCGGAATCAGAATCCGAACCGGATATCAAAAATTCCACTCCTGATCAAACTTTTCAAAAACCTTCAAATTTTCAACTTTCGCCAAATGACCTACGGATCTCCAAATCCATTTCCGGACGTGATCCTAAGATCAAAATCACCATACGGAGCTATTCCAAGACTCAGAATCCCAAACGAGCATCGATAACATTGAAATACACTTCAACCCAAATTCATGAAATTCTTCCAAAGTATCAACTTTTCACAATAGGTGTCGAAACGCTCCCGGGTCATCCAAAACCCGATCCAAACATACGCCTAAGTTTAAAATCATCATACGAACATGTTAGAACCTTCAAATCCTGATTCAGAGGTCGTTTACTCAAAAATCACACATTAGTCAATTTTCCAACTTAAAGCTTCCGAAACGAGAATTTTCTTTCCAAATTAACTCCCAACTTTCCGAAATTCGATTCCGCCCACACGTACAAGTCATAATACCTAAAGTGAAGCGCTGAATAATGCGCTAGTGTTCAAAACGACCGGTCAGGTCATTACATTCTCTCCCACTTAACCATACGTTCGTCCTCGAACGTGCTAAGAATTGTCTTGGAGTCGTCTGAAATTACTGTTTAATACCCTGTGCACCTACCTATGCTACCACAACTCAGTTGAGCATATTAGCTCAAGCAATTTTGAAGATTCTCCCTTTATTTAGTCAAATTAGCCTTAGAGCCCAATTCCAACATTTGAAATCCTCTACCATGTCTGTTTCCAACATACGAACACAATATCCATAACTACACGGTGTACCAATACATGATTGTACACTCTTACCGAATTCACACCATGCACCGCATTATTCACATGACCATAATAACATCCTCTGACAACAACAACTGAAATTCCATGAATTTGATGCCCTCAACACACCTCATGAAGCATATAAATCCCATTTCAACTCTCGCAATACTGCCACGACAGAAGAGATGTGTAGAAACTCATAACCACCTCCCAAATCACAATTCATGGAGTCTCTCCTCCCGACAAGAACTACTACCTCATTCTGGACTGAATATCGATATTTACTCTTTAATGTGCCTCATATAAATCTGATCGCACTGATCCTAGGTCCAATAATTTTGACTCACCCAGTATAAACTGCTCAGGCGATAAGCCACCATAGACACTGCAAAAAGTCTCATATGATGCCATAGAGAGCTAACTAGCCACAACATTGAATGCGATACATAAGGAGAAATGAGCTCTGGAAAGAAATTCTCAACCCACATAACTAATTTAATAAGCGAAAAGATATTATGAACCTTCCTCATGAATGAGAAGCAAAACACACAAGAATAGATATGGAAAATTGTACTCAACATCACATTATTGTAGTGTGCAACATGATCCACACATAGGGGAAAGACTTTTGCTAGAAGGTCTTTGAATGTGGAGGCTACTGCTTTGGTCTCAATAGAATTTTTTTTTAGTCTGAGGACTTCTTTGGCAAAACTTAGAAAATATATTGTTCAAGTTGTCGTAATGTATTTCTTTCCTATGAGTTATGACTAGAGGTGTACATAGGTCGGGTTGGTTCGGATTTTTCAATTATCAAACCAAACTAATTGTGTCGGGTTAGTAAATCTAAAGACCAAACCAATAAAAGTTGGATTTTTTAATCTCGGATTTTCGGGGTTTTTTTTTCATAAAGTCTTCATAGCACAAAACATAGAATTTGTGCTCCAAATATTTCTTTAATCCTAGTAAGACAAAAACTATATAAAATGTTTTTTAATAAAATAACATAAATATGAGATGAGTCATGGCATTGTGCTAAAATATTCAACAAAAAAGATAATAAAATTGCATAAAATAATATTAATAAGCCATAATGAAAACAAACATAATTTAAAATTACTAAGTTGCTAAAATAAGTATGACTAATAAGTACTATTATTTCCATGACTAAATACTAAAAGAAATATAAGTTATGCATTTTATCTAAACCATGGGAAAACTAAAAAATAGATATCCAACACTATTTTCATTCATAGTACTATTGAATTGAATGTCTTTTATAGCATTAGTATTGATTTGATTATAGTTTAGGATTTATTTTGAGTTACTACTATTTATGGACTACAAAGCTTATTAGAGCATCCAAAAATTATAAGTCCAAGCTTGAAATAATACGTTAAAAGATAAAACTATGAAAAAGTTTAAGAAATATTTATAAACTACACTACAATAAATATTCTTATGTATTAAACATATTTAAAACTTTTATACATATAATGTCCGGTTGGTTTGGTTTCGGTTTGACTTTTTTTAGTTAAAACCAAACCAAATCAATTATGGTCGGATTTTTTCTTCCAACACCAAACCAAATCAAAACAAACCAGAGTCGGACTTTTTTTCTGTTTGACTCGGATTAGCAGGTTGGTGGGGTTTGTCGGTTTCATTTGTATACCCCTAGTTATGACTGGTGGTGGCAAAATAGATAAAAAAAAATGATTATCTTTCCATATTATCCATTAAAAATGGGTTAGATAATGAACTGTTTAGAAATGAGTCAAATATAGATAAGATCTATATTATCCACTTAAAATGAATAACCAATGAGTTTAACTTTTATATTTGCAAATACTCAAATTAGGGATTCTTCAAATTTGGAAGACTAGGAATCTTCCCAAAAGTGATCATACTCAAGAAGCCATGGATAATATAGATATTCATATTATCTGTCGGTTAGCTCATTTCCTATCTATATTAAATATGGTCGGGTAAGATATTTTATCTATTTTTTGCATGACTAATGGAATAATTGAATTAATAAGCAACTCGGTTCACTAAGCTCCCACTATGCGCAGGATTTGGCCTGCCAATATTCGATCTGACTCCCTGTTTGCCACCCCTAATAATAACCAAGATGGTAAATGGTGGGGTTGGGTCTAATACAGTTATACAGTATTTGATTTCTCTGAAAAATGAACCTATAAATATCTAAACATTATAATGTAGAGTCTAACATAGTTAATGTATGTCTTATTCAAATTGGACAAAGAGGTCATATTCTTTTCTTCCTTAAACGCTCAAATTGGACCATTACCTTGTCTTCTTTTAGTTGCCTAAATGTCTCATCGTTCTTTGATTCTTGCATTTAAAAAATAAAAAATAAAAAAATCTCCGTAAACTCGCATTTGTTATTTTTTGGGTGCGCACTGAATAACCTGCTCAATGTGCAATAGCTCGCAAACCATATAGAAAATATAAACAAATATGTTAAACTATTGATATTTGAACTCATGACGATACAATTCAAATTGTGACATCTTGACTACTGAATTATTTCATTTGGGATTCCATTGTTTGAATTCTAATAGTGATTAAGAGATAACATAATCACGCGATGATCAAAGTAGGTTTAGCTCACCGCTTCACAATCAATATAGGAGTGTATATATATATATATATATATATATATATATATATGAAATCAAAAGAGAAAGGCTATTACTTTGGAGGCGGTTATAATGCGTAAAAATTCCAAAAGTGAATAAGGTTTAGTTAATTAATTTACAATCCATTAAGTTTAATTTACTATATTCTTTGCCCCAACTTGTCATTTGACTTCCACATCATTGTAATATATATCTAAGTCAACAGGTATTATAATTGAAGCACTATAAATTCTATAGTTGACAACTTGGGAATGAATATATACAGTTATAAAAGCGCATAAAGTAGTCCAAATTGGGTTAGTGCAACAGTCAGCATTATTAGTAGTTCAATTTTTCCAAGTCAATTGATGTCAATTACTAATGGAATAATTGCATCAACAGTCAGCCGCCCGGTGCACTAAACTCCCGCTATGCGCGAGGTCCGGAGAAAGGTCGGATCACAAAGGTCGATTATATGCAGCCTTACCCTGTATTTCTGCAAGAGGTTGTTTCCACGATTCGAACTCGTGAACTCCTGGTCACATGACATCAATTTACCAGTTACGTCAAGGCTCCCCTTCACGTATAATCATGAGTAAAGTTAATTCCAACTTTTGCAAGAACCTGCCTAGGAATCTTTCATAACCTTGTACTCACACCTTTAATAATACAAGTAGAGGCGGACCTATGCAATAGGTAGAGGGGTTACCGGCACAGTGCAAAAATTTCATATATACATGTATATGTTTTTAAAAAATAGTGATATATTAATAGTGGTCACCCAATATAAAAATCAGATTTTGGTTGAATCGAATAGTGCAGCCGCGACCTTCAAATCCTGGTCCGCCTCTGAATACAAGGTTCCTAACTAGTACAAGAACTTTCCTAGGATCTTCCAAGACTGTGACTCCATATTGTACTTGAAGTTCTAGCCTGTCTTGTGCTTCCATTTTCATAAGTTGCATAACAACTATGCATTCTGAGGATTCACCATGATCTTACTAGTTTTACCCTACTGTTAACTTACCATAATCCTCCTTTTTCTTTCGGTTTTAGACCGAATGTGAGCAAGCTCACACATGCGGAGTATAACATGTCTTCACAACTCACAAGTTGTACACATGTATTACTCACACACACACGCACGCACATGGTGTTGCCAATGCCAGACACAAATATTATTCCTTAGCGAATAACATACTGCTCGATGCATCAGAAGTCTGCACGATAACTCAATGTTATATGTGCTCTGAGACTAACTTCATGTAATAAGCACAGGACATTAAACTAGTGAAGTCACTAGCGTAAAAACAGCGGGATGATCAACTTTTACTTGAAGTTGGTGTACACATTGTACTAATAACTCGATGTAAACATTCGTATGGCAGATACTTGATCTTGGAAAGTTCGGTATAGAAGCCTATTAGTAAACCAGATTGGAAAATTGCAAGGATAAAGATGATGATCATGAATACACACACACGCGAGCACATACAAATTTATAGTCGTCCATTCTCAAAAGTAACTCAAGCTTATAAGGAGGGAATACTAGTCATAACTAATACATTCAAATTGTACAACAATCATCTAATATTGTCCAAATCACACTATCCTGGGCAGGGATTGTGGCATTGTGCACAGTATCTTGACACAAAGCAAACGGAAAATCCAGCAGAATTATCTGTGAAAGTTCTACTTTCTCAGAATCTTCACTTAGGACAATATATATCACTATACAAATAAAACAAGATAGCTAAATGATAGTGGTGTATTTGCTCTCAAAATTCTCAAAGCCTAAGGGTGAGATCTGGTGTAATTGGTTCATCTTTTTCGTCGTATGGAGAAGTCACATTTGAGCATCCATCAATAGAAAAGTTAGTATGAGAGGTACCGGGATTTGTCACTTGACGAAAACTGCCTGGCCATAGTAATTGATCAGCTTCATCATTTTCCATGTACAAAGGTGGACTATGGCAATTACCATACTCAAATCTTGCACTCGTTTTAAAATCGAGTGGCCTCATTGCTGGTGCAGATCCCTGGTGTAGCGAAGAATGTGCTTTGATTCCTAATGACCTTACTGTAGATCCATGTAATGGCAAAGATGCCAAATTAGCATACCTTTCTGAGAAAATTCCCATTCTCATAGCTCGTTTCGCAAGTGTTCGTTCTCTTTTATGTGCATTCTGGTGTCCACCAAGTGCCTGTGAACTGTAGAATTTCCTTTGGCAGAAATTGCAACTAAAAACTCTTTGAAATGCCGTTCCTGATCCTGATCCTGATCCTGAATTTTGTGCTGCATGTTCATTGCTGCTTTCGCTTGTGCTAGATACTGAAAAGCCTATTGAATCCTGGCTAAGAGACAAGTCAAGTGACACTGGTTCTGAACTTAACTTAGTGAAATCTATAACTCTGTCCTTGTAAGGATCCGTGAACGATTCAACGGTACATATATTAGAAGCTACCTGGCTAATAATATCAGAATCATCTTCAAACAACGCCTCAACTTCAAGATTGACTCTTGGTGTTTGCATTTTGGTTAAATATTAGGAACTTACACTCTATAGTGATCAATTGAAACAAATGAGCTATCGTCGACTTAGTAACATTGTCCTGTATATTACCAGAAAAAAAAAATGGTTGAGTAAACATATACAAGTTTAATGCAATTAAATTCCAATCACTGAAATAACCAAAATCTAGATATGCATTGAGTACATATACACAAGTTTAGTAGCAATGCACTAATTTCACAACAAACCTCTCTATAACATCCCTATATGTTCCGATACTTTTTGGCTGAGCGAAGTGATGTTATAGAGGACATATATTATAACATAATATGAAAATCGATTAAGAGAAAAATTTGACGGTTATAGTGAATGATTGTTATATAAGTGATGTCTCTGGTTTATACACCAGGCGCCAACCTCCTAAAATGCTATGTCTTTATTTAGGTGAAGTCGTGAGACAATTCGGTTCTCTAGACCCATCTGCCGCCCTAGAGAAGGGGCGTGGTGTTGAAATTGTTGAATCGGAGAAATGAGTTGGAAAGGAGTGGAACGATATGCTATTATAGAGAGGTATGACCATGTATACCAGTTTAATGTATTGTCCAATATTGTGTTACAGCATATAGATGAAACCGATTAAGGCATCAAGTTTCGTGTTATTTGCCCCTAAGTACAGTTGAAACCTGCGTAAGCGAAAGTCCATTATCAGAAACTAAAGGCTGGAAGAATACCATAGTGACACCATTGAAGAAAATTCAAACTATTCGCCAAAAAACCAATTAAATCTGATATTTCTGTTCCATTTTCTGGTGTAACATGAACTCCATATAAGACCTTTTTGCGATTTTTATCTCAGTCGCAGCATCTCCAACAAGGGATAAAGGACTAACTTTTAGGCGAAAAATGAGAAGGCAGATAAACAACATATCGATAGAGTAGGATAAATGTTTAACAGGTAATTCAAGTGGCCTCATTTGGCTGCAGCTCTAATATATTGATTTCACTTCAGTTCTGCTGCAAATTCTGATCGACTATCAACGTACAAATATTCTCTGCTTGATCTATATTAAGACTTTCTGAGAATGGCGTTTCGTTGACAGTGTTGTTTAAAGTCCTAACATGTTAGAACTTAATGAAACAAGAAGTACAACTTACACCATCAAAGGGAAAGATTGCAATATAAATCACAAAATATATATTATGAATTCTCTGCAGTTTAGAATAGCAAAAACAATGAATTATCACACACACAAATAAGTGAGAAGTAAGACCTATATCTACCTTTTTGGATTCACTTAGCAAAGGACCAAATAACACCATAACTATAGTCCAAATACTATGCCTAAATCGCGAGCAAGTTGGTAAAAGCTATATGAATCCGTACTATCCATATTGCTCTATTTAAACTCGTATCTGTCCAATATATATATGACTAAAAGGGCAGCCTCCCGCTATGCGCGGGGTCTGAGGAAGGGCCGAACCACAAGGTTCTATAGTACGAATCCTGTATTTCTGTAAGAGGCTGTTTCCACAGCTTGAACTTGTGACCTCCTGGTCACATGGCAGCAACTTTACCAGTTACGCAACGCTCCCCTTCATCTAATATATATGACTAATGATATATAATTCAAGAAAGTTAACAAATTTGATATGCGGATTGAGGAAAGATTTACTATAAAACACAACTTTTTTTTTTAGATCTTGTGTTTCACAAAAAGGCTAAAGGAAAGCAGTCAACTGTATAACTTCCACAAAAGTATCTATAGCTTCAAAAAAACATGACAAGTTCAATTTTTTCTCGACAAAATCTAACTACTCTCTTTTAAATATTCAGCTACAAGAAAATTGATTAAAGGGTAGCCCAAGGCACTAAGCTCTCGTTATGCCCAGTGTCCGACCATAAGGGTATATTGTACGCAGCCTTACCCCGCATTTCTGCAAGAGCCGGTTTACACGGCTTGAACCCGTGACCACCTGGTCACATACATCAACTTTACCAGCTACGCCAAGGGTCTCCTTTGACAAGAAAATTGCATAGGATAATGAAAATTTTCTTTATAAACTACTTAACATCCATACAAGAGGAAACCATTTCAAGATTTGAAACATAGGATCATTATTAACCAAGCTTAAAAAAAGAAATCAAACTAACCAGCTATTTCTGACTAGTGTAGTACATCTTCTTGAGGGGGCAGCTTCTTCTTGTTGTTGACTTGTTGTAGTAGCAAAATTAGTGAAAGGACTTCATCAAAGACAAAAAATGGTGCTGTTTCAAATGCCCACTTTCAAATAATTTAAGTACGAAAGAAAAAGGAACTTTAAGGGAAATTGGGAAGGGGGGTTTGTACATAAATATATAGATATACGATTGATGTTTAATTATGGGAAAGCAAAGGTAAACGAGTCATGGGACAATGGTGGCCCGTCAGATAGTCAGAGTAAAGATTGTTATAGTGGATGTGGGAGAGTCAAATAAAAAACATAAAAAATAAAAAGAAGTCTGGTGTAATAAGTTCTCGTTATGCACGGGGTCCAGGAAGGACAGGACAGCAAGCTTCTATTGAATACGGTTAACCTGCATTTTTGAAAGAAGCTATTTTCGCAGCTTAAACTCGTGACCTTCTGGTCACATGGCAGCAACTTTAATTTACCAGTTACGTCAAGGCTCCTCTTCTATAATAATAAATTACTAATAGCCGCGAATACATCGTAAACTATGGTACTTACCATACCACTGTTGCGGAAGCCAAATGTATATAGTGTGAATAAGTCACAACTACTATACCAAAAATTATGACAGCCACCAAATAATAAATAAGACAATAAAGCAACAATAAAGGGAACACCAGAATTTACGAGGTTCGGCTAATTTTGCCTACTCCTCGGACACAACCAA